CCACCGATGTCTCTTAAGTTAGCCACTAGGGAATATGAGCTGGACTCAAAAATCTTGGCTTGACAAAGCCCAAATACTCTCGACCATTCCCAAACACACTTTCCCGCAATTTGACCAATTCTGAATGGCTATTAGACATTCAAATTTAATGTATGTATGAACTCAGACAGAGTCACTGATCATCAAAAAACAACTCCCATCTCCATCAGATATTCCTTTCAGGCCTTACAAAATGAATGGGAGTCTAAGGAAAGTACTAGAAGGAAGTGAGCTACAATTACTAAACTTGGGCAGATGCCTCTGGCCAAGGGGACAATACATACCAACTTTGGTCCAATTCTATCAGTTAGTTATTAAAGATGGGCAACTTTTTCCTTACAATGAGAGTCAATGGGAGCTATAAAAAGGAAAGGTACTACAAACTCCAAACTTGTCATACTTGTAGACACTCTCCAGAGACTTATCTGTGCCAGGTTTCAGATCCATAACTACTTTTTGAGTTATTTTGATGGGGCAAGTCCATTTTCTGGCTTTTATCCTATATCCCCTACCCTACCCTACCTACCCTACCCCAGAACCAAAAACACTTCACTCAAAAACTATTCCAAAGTGTTCAGAACAGTCCAAAACACATTTTGGTACTAGTCCCAAACGAAGCTCAAATCCAAACAGTCGAATTTTGCCTCTTTCAAAAATGAATGGGACTCTATGACAGCTATATGAAGGAAGTGGCCTAGAAACACCAAACTTGCTGGAAATATAGAGGAACATGAGGTCAGTAAACACACCAAGTTTGATCCCATTATCTCTTATAGTTTTTGAGTAGTTCGTTATGAGCCATTTTTCCTATAATGGCAGTCAATGGCAACTACAAGAAGGAAACATGTCACAAACTCCAAACTCAGTGCGCAGAGGTGTGTGTGTGTGGGGCGGGGGTGTCTGCCGGGAGATGACATCATCAGCAGTGTAAAGTAAGAAGGGAATGAAATCAGGAGGATTTTATTTCTAGTGGCAGAGCAGGTTGGAAGTTGGTCGTATGATTTTGTATAACGTCTTAAAGGCTCTGACATGTTAAATGAATTAAAAACTAAGTTTTTGAAAAAATCTGTAAAACTTGAACAAATCTGTGCGATTTCTCTACATACATGTGAAGGAAAGTTTGTAACTGATTACCTAAATGTTGGATCCTATCTGGTATTTTTTTACATTCTGGCAGACATAAGGTTTAAATAGAGAACGATGCGTGTCTTATCACGTGTCTTTCTGTAGCATAAACAAAGGCTGGTTACGTTCTGACAGAAACGTTGACACCTGCAGGGCTGTAAGCAGGAAGATCACAAATTCCTTTCACCTGGAAAATGAGGGAAGATCGGTACAACTTAACCTATAGGCCGTGAGCGCCACCTTGAGGGCCTCAAAAGAACAACAGTTTTTAACTTTGGGCCACAGAGG